TCTTCTACTCAATGAGAAGATGAGAAAGAAGCCTGAAAATCAAGGACAGGCTCTTATCACAGAAGGTAGAGGCAGGAGTTATCAAAGGAGTTTGAGCAACTATGGTAGATCCAGAGCTCGTGGGAAGTCAAAGAAACGATCCAAATCAAGAGCCAGAAATTGCTACAACTGTGATCAACCAGGTTACTTCAAAAGAGATTGCCCAAATCCAAGGAAGGGCAAAGGTGAAACTAGTGGCCATAAGAATGACGACAACACAACCGTCATGGTGCAAAACAATGATAATACTGTCCTCTTTATTAATGAGGAAGAGGAATGTATGCACATGTCAGGTCCAGAGTCGGAATGGGTGGTTGACACAGCGACATCTTACCATGCCACACCGGTAAGAGATCGTTTTTGCAGATATGTAGCCGGTGATTTCGGCACAGTGAAAATGGGTAACACAAGTTACTCAAAGATTGCGGGGATTGGTGACATTTGTATCAAGACAAATCTTGGATGCACATTGGTTCTAAAGGATGTGCGGCATGTACCTGATTTACGGATGAACTTGACCTCGAAAATTGCTTTAGACCGAGATGAATACGAGAACTATTTTGCAAATCAAAAGTGGAGACTCACTAAGGGATCATTGGTGATTGCAAAGGGAGTTGCTCGTGGCATGTTGTATAGGACAAATGCAGAAATATGCCAAGGTGAATTGAATGCGGCACAAGATGAGATTTCTGCAGATTTGTGGCACAAAAGAATGGGACATATGAGCGAGAAGGGATTGCAGATTTTTACCAAGAAATCACTCATTTCTTATGCCAAAGGTACAATGGTAAAACCTTGTGACTACAATTTATTTGGTAAGCAGAATAGAGTCTCATTTCAGACATCGTCTGAAAGAAAATTGAATATACTTGATTTACTATATTCTGATATTTGTGGACCAATGAAAATTGAACAAATGGGCGGTAACAAATATTCTGTTACTTTTATTGATGATGCTTCACGAAAATTATGGGTTTATATTTTGAAAACCAAAGATCAGGTGTTTCAAGTTTTCTAGAAGTTTCATGCTCTAGTAGAAAGGGAGACGGGTCGAAAGCTAAAGCGTCTCCGAAGTGACAATGGAGGTGAGTACACTTCAAGGGAATTTGAAGAGTATTGTTCAAGTCATGAGATCAAACATGAAAAGACAGTTCCTGGAACCCCACAACACAATGGTGTAGTCGAGAGGATGAACCGCACCATTGTGGAGAAGGTGAGAAGCATGCTCAGAATGGCTAAACTGCCTAAGTCATTCTAGGGTGAAGCAGCTCAGACAGCCTGTTACTTGATCAATAAGAGTCCATCAGTTCCGTTAGCGTTTGACATCCCATAGAGAGTTTGGACCAATAAGGAGGTGTCCTACTCGCATCTGAAGGTGTTCGGTTGTAGAGCTTTTGCACATGTACCAAAAGAGCAGAGAACAAAGCTGGCTGATAAATCTGTTCCCTGCATATTTATCGGATATGGAGATGAAGAGTTCGGATACAGATTGTGGGATCCTGTAAAGAAGAAGGTCATCAGAATTAGAGATGTAATCTTCCGAGAAAGTGAAATTGGAACTACTGCTGATATGTCAGAAAAGGCGAAGAATGGTATAATTCCTAACCTTGTTACTATTCCTTCTACTTCTAACAATCCCACAAGTGCAGAAAGTACGACCGACGAGGTTGCCGAGCATGGGGAGCAACCTGGTGAGGTTATTGAGCAGGGGGAGCAACTTGATGAAGGTGTCGAGGAAGTGGAGCACCCCACTCAGGAAGAAGAACAACCTCAACCTCTGAGGAGATCAGAGAGGCCAAGGGTAGAGTCATGCAGGTACCCTTCCACAGAGTATGTCCTCATCAGTGATGAGGGGGAGCTAGAAAGTCTTAAGGAGGTATTGTCCCATCGAGAAAAGAACCAGTGGATGAAAGCCATGCAAGAAGAGATGGAATCTCTACAGAAAAATGGCACGTACAAGCTGGTTGAACTTCCAAAGGATAAATACCACTCAAATACAAATGGGTCTTTAAGCTCAAGAAAGATGGAAATGGCAAGTTGGTCAGATACAAAGCTCGATTGGTGGTAAAAGGCTTCGAACAGAAGAAAGGTATTGATTTTGATGAAATTTTCTCACCTGTTGTCAAAATGATTTCTATTCGAACAATTTTGAGCTTAGTAGCTAGCCTAGATCTTGATGTGGAGCAGTTTGATGTGAAAACTGCATTTCTTCATGGAAATTTGGAAGAAAAGATCTATATGGAGCAGCCAGAAGGATTTGAAGTAGCTGAAAAGAAACACATGGTGTGCAAATTGAACAAAAGTCTTTATGGATTGAAGTAGGCACCAAGGCAGTGGTACATGAAGTTTGACTCATTCATGAAAAGTCAAACATACATAAAAACCTATTCTGATCCATGTGTATACTTCAAAAAAATTTCTGAGAATAACTTTATTATATTGTTGTTGTATGTGGATGACATGTTAATTGTGGAAAAGACAAAGGGCTGATCACAAAGTTGAAGAGAGATTTGTCCAAGTCATTTGATATGAAGGACTTGGGCCCATCACAACAAATTCTAGGGATGAAGATAATTCGAGAGAGAACAAGTAAAAAGTTGTGGCTATCGCAGGAGAAGTACATTGAACGTGTACTAGAACACTTCAACATGAAGAATGCTAAGCCAGTTAGCACACCTCTTGCTAGTCATCTAAAGTTGAGCAAAAAGATGTGTCCTACAACAGAAGAAGAGAAAGGGAACATGGATAGAGTTCCTTATTCTTCAGTAGTCGGAAGCTTAATGTATGCAATGGTATGCACTAGACCTAATATTACTCACGTAGTTGGTGTTGTCAGCAGGTTTCTTGAAAATTTTGGAAAAGAACATTGGGAAGCAATCAAGTGGATAATCAAGGTACCTAAGAGGTACCACGGGAGATTGTTTGTGCGTTGGAGTATCGGATCCAATCTTGAAGGGCTATACAGATGCTGATATGGCAGGTGACATTGATAACAGAAAATTCACTACTGGATATTTGTTTACATTTTCAGGGGGAGCTATATCATGGCAGTCTAAGTTGCAGAAGTGCGTTGCACTTTCAACAACTGAAGCAGAGTACATTGCCGCTACATAAACTGGCAAGGAGATGATATGGCTCAAATGGTTCCTTCAAGAGCTTGGTTGTATCAGAAGGAGTATGTCGTCTATTGTGACAGTCAAAGTGCAATAGACCTGATCAAAAACACCATGTATCATGCAAGGACGAAGCATATCGACGTGAGATATCATTGGATTCGAGAAAGGATAGAGGATGGATCTATGCAGGTAAAGAAGATCCATACAAGTGAGAATCCTCCGGATATACTGACCAAAGTGGTACCAAGAGACAAGTTTGAGCTATGCAAAGAACTTGTCGGCATACACTCAAACTAGAACCTCTGGTGTTACCTCCTTCAGGTGAATGGGACTGGAGGGGGGAAGTTTGTGGGGTCCATCCCATAAATCAAGGAAGAAATCTTCCTTCCTTGATTAGCAACAGCCCACGTTTCTTTCTGCATTTGTCAAATATGGCAGGCGTGCAGATGAAAAATATCAAGCGTAGTAGGTGAGGTTCTGCCTATAAAAGAAGAGCTTCGGCTCTCATTTTATACACCAATCTCAGAGGAAAAAATATATATGAGAGTTAGAAAGAAAGAGTGAGGTTTCACGGACAGGGTATAAGAAAATAGTCTGTGAGAAAAATAGAGAGTGAGTGATATTGTAGTGAGGTGGGAATATCAAAAGAGGGTTATTTCTTTTGAGTGTTGTAGTGGTCTTTTGAGTATTTTACTCGGACCTACAAAGTGTAAAATTCCTTGCTATAGTGATATCAGTTGCTCTTCTCAGGGCCGTGGTTGTTTCCCTTATTCAAAAGGGTTTTCCATGTAAAAGTCTTGGTGTCGTTGTTACTCTTTTATTCTTGTTAATTATTGTATCTCGGTGCTACGTTATTATTCCGCTTTTATTACCGTGAATATTATTTTTCTAGGGGTTTATTCCCAACATATATGTTACTACATCCATTTCAGTTTATGTGAACTTATTTCCTTTTTGGTCTGTATAAAAAATGACACTTTTCTAAATTTGGCAACAATTTAGCTTAAACTTCCAATTCTACCCTTAATGAGAAATTTTTATAATCACACAGATACTCTAAACTCCTTTTTAACTTGTTTAGGACCACAAATTTTAAAAGTCTTGGAGGGAGTACTAAGAATGTACACTCAGAAATAGTTGAAATGGAAAAAGTTATTACGACTTTAAAGATTGATTATGATAAAGAAAGAAAAAAACAAAGAGTAAGGTAATCTAACCACAATGTAAGTTTTTACCAATGCGAAAGACTCGGAACTAGGGGTAGGCGTTCGGTTGGTTCGGTTCGGTTTGAAGAAATTTGGTTCGGTTATTTGGTTTTCGGTTTTGTAAATATGATAACCAAAACCGAACTGAAATAAGTTCAGTTCAGTTCGGTTTTTTAATTTTAGTTCGGTTTACTTTGGGTCGATTTTCGGTTTGAACATTATCATATTGGGTTGGGCTTATTCTGCTTAATAATTGGACTAATTTGTTGGTTGTTTCCAAAATTTTGGACTTTTTGAATGTGTTAAGTCATAAATCTGTTCTTTTATTTACATAATCATAAACTATATGTAGGCTAAGCCCATATATAACAAACACTACTACACTAGGCCCAATTTTATAAAGTTCAGTCTAAGCCTGGATTTTTTGAACTGGGAATGAGATGACCGAAAAAGGAACAATTTATTACATCAATTTAAACATTGATTTCTCAATCTGGTATGAGTTCCCTGTTACTCAAATCTGGTAACAAAAATCTGGTATGAGTTCCATGTTACTCAAATCATCCTAATAAAAAGAGACCTTACAATTGATGTTGCTAACAAACATAAGTACATAACCAAAGGATGCTGGTAATTACACCTCTACTTGGTCCATACAAGATCCCACAATCATACAAAACAAATATAAACTAGGGAGTAGGGAGTAGTTAGTAGTTACAACCAAAAGAGCACTACATTACACAACCAAAAAACCAAAAGAGCTATGCTGCTTTGCTGCCACTGCTTACAGCCACGAGAGAACAAAAAACTTAGAATCTATGCTACTTTGCTTCCATTGTTTAGTACAAGCATATTACATAACCAAAAGAGTAATCCAAAAGTTAGAAACTTTTCATGTTGCTGAAGTCTCAAAACCAGAGAAATAATTACATTAAGTAGCATGAAACAAGTGAAGTCTATTTACTGCAGCATCACTTCCATTTAGGCGCCATGATCAAACCTTTGCAACAAAAGACATAATTATAGGTCAAAAACACAATTGATTTATAATAAAGTATATCAATGTTATATCTTCAAATATACAGAAGGCTATCAACTTACCAGTTACCACACATGGTACATGTTGCAACTATATGTCAATAATAGTTGAATCTTTTGCACTATCAGCCAGATCTAAGGAAAATATAGAAGAAAACTTTGTCATGCATCATCAGTGTTAAGTAAACTATTTGTAATATAATAAAGGAAAGACACAAAATAATTACCAAGTTCTAGTTGTTCTAGATACTCCAAGTCTTCCTCAACTTTAATAGGAATAGGTTCACTTCTAAGCCAATCTTGAAGACAAATAAGAGATTGCACCAGTTTAGGCGTCAACGAACTCCTGAACGAGTCAAGAATGCGACCTCCCGTGCTGAATGCACATTCAGATGCAACACTTGAAATAGGAATGGCTAATACATCACGAGCCATCTCCGCAAAAATGGGAAATCTAGGCTCATTGATTTTCCACCACTTTAAGATCTTAAAGTCATCTGTTTCAGGCTCAAGATCTTCAGCAAGATATCTTTCTAACTCTGATTTAGTA